TCCATTTGCCCAGCAGGGGATCTGCCCGCTGATCCCTGCTGAGCAAGCACATGACAGGTCTGTGTCCGCTCCGCTTATGCAAAGAGGACATGGACACAGCCCACTGTCCTTTATGGGCTGTTGGATGGAAACGGACAGCCTGCCCGTTCCCATCTGATTGTCATCTGATCCACCAGACAGATGGGGAACAGATCCTCATCCATTTTTAGCGGACAGGATCAGATTGGATGCAGGCGGATCCAAACCAATACTTGTCCGTTTACACCTCCATAGAGAGCAATGGAGCATCCGATCGAGTCCGCTTGAAAAACGGACAGGTGGACCCAATTGGTCCGCTCATGTGAAAAGGGCCTAAGCATGTAGAAAAAAAAAATTTAAAAAAACCCCACCAAAAATAATGCTAAATTTAAATGATAAATATTGCAAAGCATAAATATTTAATGCATTCAGTAAATAGCGTATTTTTTTTAGTGAATTGACTACTTTTGAGATAAATAACACATGACTTATTTTAACTCCTAGATTGTAAGCTTCAAGGAGCAGGGCCCTCCTATCCCTCTTGTATTGAACTGTATTGTTGCTGTATTGTCTCCCGTTATATTGTAAAGCGCTGAGCAAACTGTTGGCGCTATATAAATACTGTATAATAATAATAACTCAAAAATTCATGCGGTATTTATCTCTTAGTGAATTGACTCCTGAACCACAAAGTGGCAATAGAGGGGGAAACAGCCTAACAAACCAACATTAAGGCTCCATGCACACTGGCGTAAAAACCACTGCTTCTACAGGAGTTTTGTATTTTGCCTATAGAAGTTGCTCAATGTTACACTATGTGGCCATGCACATTTGGATGTTTAGAGGCATATTTTAAACTCAGCATTTTGAGGCAGGAAAAAAAAAAAATCCTTCTGTGTTGCATTTTTGATTGATTTGACCTTTCTGGCTCTTTTTGAGCATTTTTTGATGGATGTTGGATTCCCCTTGTAATTATCTTCTGTGTCAGATAATCTTTTTATGAAATTTCTCTAACATTTCTGAGATTTTTGATTATCATTTTTAGAACAAATTCAGAGAACTCGTGTGTGATATCTCTTCAGTCGTACTCTAACTCAAATTCAAGTCAAACTCTAACTCGCCAGCTCTTTGGGTACCAAGTCTGATACCCTTAGGGGCAATTTCCATAGAAATTTCCAATTTAGCAAATTTTTCCCTTACAAACGACTACCCTGTTTCCCTGAAAATAAGACCGTGTCTTATATTAATTTTTGCTCCCAAAGATGCCCTAGGTCTTATTTTCATGGGATGTCTTATTTTTCCATGAAGAAGAATACGGTACACATTTATTGTTAAATGAAAATAAAGGAAATTACCATTTTAGTAACCCCTTTTGATCCTCCTGTGTCATTTTGATTGTCCCCTCTGATCCTCCTGTGTCATTTTGATTGTCCCCTCTGATCCTCCTGTGTCATTTTGATTGCTCCCTCTGATCCTCCTGTGTCATTTTGATTGCCCCCTCTGATCCTCCTGTCATTTTGATTGCCCCCTCCGATCCTCCTGTGTCATTTTGATTGTCCCCTCTGATCCTCCTGTGTCATTTTGATTGCCCCCTCTGATCCTCCTGTGTCATTTTAAGTGATCCCCCTCCCCCCACCCCTGTACCACTGAACACCTTCACCAGACATCCCCCCCACCCCTTTATCAGACATTTCCCCCCTGGGGACTGCCTGAGGACTGTCACTGGGCTGGCTGGGGCCTGGACCTGGGCTGGAGCAGGGTCTGCCACTGACTGAGAACCTTCAGTCATCATGAGGGCGGTGTCACCAGAGACAGACCAGCACTCACCACCTTCGCCGCGTCCCGTCCGCTCTGATCCTCCTGTTCTTCTACACGCATCTCTCTCCCGCTCACTCTGACCTCCGCTCCGCCTCCACACAGCAGTGACGTCACTGGTTGCTAGACGCCAGTCGGGGCGGCCCTAGCAACCAGTTTACGGTAAATTAATTTTCATTACGAGACAGAGCCTAGGGGGGCCTTATTTTCGGGGGATGCCTTATATTTCACCCAGAAGGAAACCTGTAAGTAGGTCTTATTTTTTGGGAGGATGTCTTATTTTCGGGGAAACACGGTATTACAATAGGGAACTGAGAGGAAGATATGGTTTTTCATACCAAGATACCTCATAAACAGATTAGCAAAAGACTGGACTGCTGACCTAACGGTCACTGTCCCTTGTGTTTGTTTGTAAGGAGTATATTCAAAATAAAATATTTGTTCTCAGGTCTGAGGTCCAAACCAATTAATAAGAATTCTGTTGGCATAGCCACAATGTTTTTTTTTTTGTTTGTTTGTTTTGGGGGTTTTTTTAATATCTTGCTGCCTTAGTCCAGTTCATGTTGGGGATTAAGCTGTAAAGTGATAATATAATATCCATGGTGGCCATAATATGGCTTCTTGCAATGAAATGTAGGCTCTTCTTTCCAATGCTGGTCCTCTATTGTATAGGGTGACCCTAAAGTCTGGATGCATAGGAAATATCACTATATGTGTGTATATATGTGTATAATATATCACTACATAAGCTCACCAGACCTTAACCCCCCGACTTCTTTTTTTGGGGTATGCTAAAGGAGAAGGTGTACTTAATGAATATCACAGATATGAATAACCTGAAGGAAGACATCATTAACGTATGTGCGCAAATTGACGTAAATGTGGAGATACTGCATCAAGTTCATGTGAATCTTGCAAAGCGCATGGAACTTTGCATCACAAATGGTGGAAATCACATTGAAGATATTATTGATCAATATTTCAATTAAATAAAATGTTGTCGAAAAATGTATTGAAATTTATTGAAAATATGCATTTTGCCCATGTGTCCAGGCTTTAGGGACACCCTGTACATGATGGTGTTGGAGTGCATGTGATTGACAAAGTGGTAATGTGAAATGGCTTTGGGGTTTAGGTCATGCAGTTGGGAAGCCTGTTGGAAAGCGGAAAAAGGTATGTTGTAAGTATAGTGGCTGTTCTCCCCTAGACAAAACAAATATTTACCCCTTGCAGTTGGGGGTACCCTACTGAAAGGGTCATTTTTTTTATTTTCCTATTCAGCTTTAAGTGGGATATATCAGTATAAAAGAAAGGAAGAAACTGGTATATTTCTTCTTGTTTGTTAAAAGACATATAAAATTTGAAGAAATACAGTACATAGCCAGTCTTCAGGTATTTAGCTCAGTGTTTCTCAACTTTTTTTCAGTCTAGGCACCCTTTAAAATTCTGCACAATTTTGCGGCACCCTATTCTAAAGTGTAAAAACCAAAACTAATGGTTCTACATATCTCAGCACATCCACACACACTGGTTACCTAACATTATATGTGATTTATTCCTCCACTTTTCCAAACCGATACTAACTAGAATTCTTGCATTTTTCTTCTCTCTCAGTTTTGCTCCCTTTCTCCCCAGCGGTGACAGAAAGGGGCGGGGGAGGGGCAAACAAGTATGCTGTGCAAGCATCAACGTCCTCCTTATCAACCAATGACGTCATTGGTTGTTTGGATGCCAGTGGCTGGCCCGCACAGTGCCCAAGGTTGTAATGCTGCACAATAAAAACCTGTGGCTTGATCCACTTTCTGCATTGTTAACAATATTTTGGCAATTTGTGGTAATTTTTAGGCATTTCTCCAAGGCTTCCCTAAAAAAGGTATATGCCATGGCAGTACATATATGGGCGGTGTTCCTCTGCCAAAAGTTTTATCTTCTATCTGGTTCTAGTTCCAAATAGATTTATGAGCTAATCTCTGTCAGATAGCAAATTAGATGAGAAAAGGAGAGAAGCGCCTCTAAGTGCAATAAGTCTTTTTATTCAAGTCTAAATGTAGAAACACTCACATGTGTGAAGTAATCATAAGCATAAAAACCGTGGTTAACAATAGTTAACGGTGGGGTGGTAACTTGGGTGAAGAGCCGTCATCTTACTGCAATGTGGGGAGGTCAGCTCTCGGCTGGAACAGCGGTGAGGCCGGCCGGCGTGCACGTCCTCCCTCAGAGCCGGATGGAACGCACGCTGGAACGTAGCGGAGGCGTGGCCGTGATGACGTCAGATCCCAGGGTGCACTGCGACGCGTTTCGGAACATGCACTGGCCGTGGAAGGCGGAAGTGCGCTCCTTTTTTCAAGCAGTTCCCCTCCAGCCACCACGCTGTTCCAGCCGAGAGCTGACCTCCCCACATCGCAGAGAGATGACGGCTCTTCACCCGGGTTAACTATTGTTAACCACGGTTTTTAGGCTTATGATTACTTCACACATGTGAGTGTTTCTACATTTAGACTTGAATAAAAGACTTATTGCACTTAGAGGCGCTTCTCTCCTTTTCTTATCTACAGAAGTTGCTACAGCTTATTTGGAAGCCTTGCCCTCAGTGCCACACGGAATCCTTCGCTCTTCATACAGTAGCCACTAATACCACGATCACCCCATACTACCATTTCCCAGGACTTTGCAGTGTTTGCGCTGTTACAACCCTTCCTCAGATAGCAAATTAGACCCTGGATTTCCCTGCAGTCTATATTCCAGCTAAGCAATACAGACTTATCCAGAAAGTGCCACAGCCAATGCCTGGACAGTAAAGGGGCAACAGCAAACTCATAAGGGCATCCCTTTGCATCCCTCTTGTAAGCATTTTCACAGTGTTTAGACCCACAACACAGTACACAGCAATAGAACGCTGCTTGGCTTAGAGTGCTGGTCTAGCATACAGCTGCATATTGATTGCACACAACCCGCACTACCCCACTTATGAGGTCCACTGAATTTATAAATACTGTTATTCTTTGTAAAACATGGCAGCTAAAGCAAAATAAAAAACAACCAATACAATTATTACAAAATAATTCCTATTAGATTGCATGGTGCACAAAGTCCAATACCTGACTCACCTGCTTGTAATGTGTGTGAATAATACTGGTTTCATGTTTTTTGTTTCTTATTAAATCTAGGTTAATCACAACAATAGAAAACACCTTATCCCTAGAAAAGATGCCCAGTGCTTTCTCACTTTTTGATCATCTATCTGCAAATGCTTCTGAAGGAGGCCAGAAGGAAGTGAAACATGTCTCAGGTATGTCTGTGAAAGTTCTCGTATATCCATCGCTAACCCTTTGACGCTATATAAACACTGTATAATAATAATAATGGTATATTTAGCAGTAGTTGGTCACATTCAACTGGACTTGTTCTGTAATGTTGAAGACTTTTTGAGTGTCAGGAAGATACCTTAGCATTTATATTCACTCAGGTAACACTGGCACCTTAACCAGTCATCATGGAATGTCCAGATTGTTGATTTCCACGAACCAGATGAGATCTGTGCAGTTATAAAACCATGCTGTCCTAGTTACATAATACCAACCTTGATGTCAGGATCTGTATTTTATATACAATATAATGCCTTTTAATATCTGATGCTGATTCAAAGCTAACCTCCAGGGATGAATCTTTACCCTTGCAGTGGGTTCACCTACCTTGCCACTGCAAGGATTAATGGCTCGTTTTGCCTAAGGGAAGATGAATAGGGTGATAAACTTTGTACAAGCAATCCCCCAAAGGCTCTTCCCTTCTTGATGTTCGACTGGTCACATCTCTGATATCACCCCATGCAATGCAGAACCATCAGTCAGTTCTGCATTGTACAGAGGGGGATGCTGAGGACTTGCTCACATTCTGGAGCATTGGACAGCAGAGAAAAGCTGCCAAGGGAGCAAGGAAAAGGGCTTGTATATCACCTTATTTAGCATTCCCTAGGCAAAATAGATAGTTAACCCTTGCAGTGGGGAGGGGGACCTACTGCAAGGGTAAGGATTTTTATCCATGGAGTTTAGCTTTTATGTGGAACCAAACCCTCCTATCATTTTCAGCCACATAAGCTGCCATCCTAGCATCTGTTTGATCTTTAACTGCCCTGGAGCTGCACATGTGATCAGTTATAGCACCAACCAATTGATGTTCTGACAGTATTGCTGAGAACACAAGCAAATGTGATAGTTACATTCCCGGGCACATGCCAGGAATGTACAGTATCTCATAGAAGTGAGTACACCCCTCATATTTTTGTAAATATTTGATTCTATCTTTTCATGTGACAACATTGAAGAAATGACCCTTTGCTACAATGTAAAGTAGTCAGTGTACAACTTGTATAACCGTGTAAATTTGCTGTCCCCTCAAAATAACTCAAAACACAGCCATTAATGCCTAAACCTCTGGCAGCAAAAGTGAGTACACCCCTAAGTGAAAATGTCCAAATTGGGCGCAAAGTGTCAATATTTTGTGTGGTCACCATTATTTTCCAGCACTGCCTTAACCCTCTTGGGTATGGAGTTCACCAGAGCTTCACAGATTGCCACAGTAGTCCTCTTCCACTCCTTCATGATGACATCACAGAGCTGGTGGATGTTAGAGACCTTGCTCTCCTCCACCTTCCATTTGAGGATGTCCCACAGATGCTCAATAGGGCTTAGGTCTGGAGACATGCTTGGCCAGTCCATCACCTTTACCCTCAGCTTCTTTAGCAAGGCAGTCTTGGAGGTGTGTTTGGGGTCGTTAACATGTTGGAATACTGCCCTGCGGCCCAGTCTCCGATGGGAGGGGATCATGCTCTGCTTCAGTATGTCACAGTACATGTTGGCATTCAAGGTTCCCTCAATGAACTGTATCTCGCCAGTGCCAGCAGCACTCATGCAGCCCCAGACCATGACACTCCCACCACCATGCTTGACTGTAGGCAAGACACACTTGTCTTTGTACTCCTCACCTGGTTGCCGCCACACACGCTTGACACCATCTGAACCAAATAAGTTTATCTTGGTCTCATCATACCACAGGACATGGTTCCAGTAATCCATGTCCTTAGTCTGCTTGTCTTCAGCAAACTATTTGCAGGCTTTCTTGTGCATCACCTTTAGAAGGGGCTTCCTTCTGGGATGACAGCCAGACCAATTTGATGCAGTGTGTGACCATGGCGAGGCTTGTTCTGAGTGGAACCTGTCCTGTTAAACCGATGTATGGTCTTGGCAGCTCAGTTTCAGGGTCTTGACAATCTTCTTATAGCCTAGGCCATCTTTATGTATAGCAACAATTCTTTTTTTTCGGATCCTCAGAGAGTTCTTTGTCATGAGGTGCCATGCTGAACTTCCAGTGACCAGTATGAGTGAGAGCAATAACACCAAATTTAACACACCTGCTCCCCATTCACACCTGAGACCTTGTAACACTAACGAGTCACATGACACCGAGGAGGAAAAATGGCTAATTGGGCCCAAATTGGACAGTTTCACTTAGGGGTGTACTCACTTTTGTTGCCAGTGGTTTAGACATTAATGGCTGTGTGTTGAGTTGTTTTGAGGGGACAGCAAATTTACACTGTTATACAAGCTGTATACTTTACATTGTAGCAAGGTGTCATTTCTTCAGTGTTGTCACATGAAAAGATAGAATAAAATATTTATAAAAATGTGAGGGGTGTACTCACTTCTGTGAGATACTGTAACTGGTTTCAAACTTACTGTGGCAGTTTTTTTCTTTCTTTTGGAAAAAGCTGACTGTTGCAGCCCCCCCCCCCCCAGTCCATGCTGTGGTGCAATCTATCACCTGCTGTGTCCAACAGACACAGAAGTTGACAGATCAGTGTACTGACTGCTGCCAGGACCATGTGATCGCTATAACCAAACACAGCAGACCACATGACAATTGTACACAATGGATTGCTTTCATTCATGCCATCCATTGTGTATTGATCTCTGTGATTCGTCACAGTGATAGCATGGTACAGACAGGGCCAATCACAGCCCATCTGTAACATGTAACTAACTGTGGCCAATCACAGCTAACCACAATAGTAAACGCTGAATGAATCAATTTCATTCAGTAAAAATGGTTGCTTATAAACAGAGAAAAAATGTACAATGTTATTAGGGTGACATTATATTGCTCTGGTCACAGTGTGTTCTATAAAATTGTAAAAAGAAAAAGTGAAAGTATGACACTGTACTGCACTGGTGACCGTATGTAAAAAAAATTGGGAATAAAATATTTCTTTTAAATTTCTTCATTTTCAAAAAAAAATTGTGACAAAAATTGCAACTTCAAAAAACTCACTATGCCTCTTACTAAATACCTAGGACTGCCTACTTCGCAGAAAGGTGTAATTTGGGGGATATTTGTACTGTCCTGGCATTTTCAGGCCTAAAGAAATGAGATAGGCCATCAGTACATCAGGACTGATTGATTTTCAGATATCTATACAATAATTTGTGGTCTTTTTAACTTTCCCACAGACTAAATAATATACTCTGATCTAAGTTTTTTTTTTAAACCAAAGAAATGTAGCAGAATACAGTTTGGCCTATATTTGTAAAGAAAGATTATTTATTTTCAACATTTTATAACAGAAATTAAGAAAATGTGGTTTTTTTTTTTCAAAAAATGTTTTTGTTTATTTAGCAAAAAAATTAAAAATCCAGTGGTGATTTAATATCACCAAAAGAAATATCCAACTGTGTGAAAAAAAAAATTATAAAAATTTCACATGGGTAGTGTTGCATGACTGCGCATTTGTCATTCAAAGTGCAACAGCTCTGAAAGCTGAAAATTGGCCTGGTCAGTAATAGGTCGAAAGTGTACCAGTACTGAAGTGGTTAAATTCTATAGGGAGTTATAGACCCATTAACAAATTCATTTATGTTGAAAAATTACAATAGGTGACGTTATTCGGATCCTTAGAGTGTACTGAGTATGGTTGATACTGAAAGTAACATGGGTATCCTAGCCAACATAACAAGATTTCATATACTACTTAACAGTAACCTGCGTTTTCTCTCTTGCTGCATTGGGTGTGACAGTAATTGTCGTCTGATCTATGACATGCACACTGAATTTCACACTTACATCATTGCAATGAAGACATTTTGGATTTGCCTTTAGAAATAGAAGAATTTGCAATGGAGTCCAGGAAATTGTACTCTAACAGCTGTGTGTCACATAAGAGGAGAGATCTGTCAGTCGTGACATAAGGTCCAGGGTATCTTGTCACTGTGAAATTCAGAGCTTCTCAGAAGACGACACAGGCTAATTCTGGGAGACTGATATGTAAGATAACCTGTCCAGAGTCACAAGGCATTGGCCTATGCAGTCGTACCACTGTTTTTCAGAGTGTGTTGTGTTCAGTATGTTTCACTCAGTTATGTGGAACATGATAAATACCCGAGGACAGGAGATACCTTTTCTTAAAGCTCTCACTTAAGGAGTCACTTCCACTTTGTCCAAAATATTTTTGTTATTTGAACCTTGATGCATTATGGCAGCTGCTACCTGCAATAAAGTCTGCACTGTGTGTGGTCTATTTGATGTTGTTTTCATGACCTGGTGTTTTACAGCAACAACAAACATTTATATGGCATTTTTTCGTAAACAGGATGTTAGGTGCAGTTCATGGATGATGACAGTATATATCAGTAGGGGGTCAGTTAAATTATATGATTAGGTAGCAGCTCGTCTTAATGTGGACCTCCTGTACAAGTGACAGGTTTCCCCCTTTTATTGGATACCTGGCAAGGGTAATTTGTTTTCATTTCAATCATTTCTATTGGATTTCAGAAGAAAATACCAAAGACGCCCAGACCTTTGGGTCCATGGGTCCTGAAAAAGAACAGCAGGTTGATGCAGGAATTATGGAGCTAGCTAATGAAATAAAGGAATTGTAGAAACTCCAAATAAAAGGAAGCTCAAGGAGGGAGAACAGAGGGCCATAGTTTGGTTAGGGTATCAGTAGGGGGTGGGTATACGTTGAAATTCATCCCCCCTCATACTCAGGTCCAGGAGCCTATGAGTTGATGAACTTTGCCTTGTGTGCAATCAGTTTGAGACACAACTGAGATCATTCAGAACTCATTGATACAATGCCTTGAAAAAGTATTCATACCCCTTTAAATTTTCCACATTTTGTCATCTTACAACCAAAAACGTAAATGTATTTTATTGGGAATTTATGTGATAGACCAATACAAAGTGTCACATAATTGTGAAGTGGAAGGAAAATGGCAAATGATTTTCAAAATTTTTTACATATAAATATCTGAAAAGTGTGGCGTGCATTTGCATTCAGCCTTTAGTCTGATACCCCTAACTAAATCTAAACTAAACTAGTGGAACCAATTGCCTTCAGATACCACCTAATTAGTAAATAGAGTCCACCTGTGTGTAATTTATTCTCCATATAAATACAGCTGTTTTGTGAAGCCCTCAGAGGTTTATTAGAGAACATTAGTGAAGGAAGAGCATCATGAAGGCCAAGGAACACACCAGACAGGTCAGGGATAACGTAGTGGAGAAGTTTAACCGTTTCAATACCGTGCAATTTTACACCTTCCTGCCCAGGCCAGTTTTCAAGTTTCAGCGCTCTCACACTTTGAATGACAATTGCACGGTCATACAACATTGTACCCAAACTAAAATTTTATCATTTTCTTCACACAACTAGTGCTTTCTTTTGGTGGTATTTAATCACCACTGGGGTATTTATTTTTTGCTAAATTAACAAAAAAAGACCAAAAATTTTGAAAAAAAAAAAAAGTTTTTCTTTGTTTCTGTTATAAAAGTTTGCAAATAAATGTTCTTCATAAATTTAGACCGAGATGTATTCTGCTACATGTCTTTGGTGAAAATAACCCAAATTAGGATGTATTTTTTAGTTTGTAGAAAAGTTATAGAGTTCACAAACTATGGGATATATCTGAATATTGATCAATCCTGATGTACTGACAGCCAATCTAATTTCTTGAGGTCCAAGAATGTCAGAACATTACAGATATCCTCAAATGACCACTTTTTGCAAAGTAGACAGTCCGATGTACTTCATAAGAGGCATGGCGAGTTTTTTGAAGTTGTATTTTTTTTGTCATAATTTTTCGGAAAATGAAAAAATTAGTTTTTCACTATTTTTTTTTTTACATATTGTCACCAGTGCAGTACAGCGTCATCATATAACTGGCATGGCGGTGATCAGGGACACTGACTGGTGACAGTATGAAAAATATATATATATATATTTTTTTTTTTTTTAAATTTTGTTTATTTTTTATTACATTTTTTTTAAGATTTTTTTTTCATATTTCACTATGACCAAAGTAGTACAATATTACCATAGTAACATTGTACTACTTTGGGGAAGTGATCAGTATTTTTTTTTTTTTTTTACACAATTTGCTTATAGCAAAGAATTACTTTGCTATAAGCAAGCATTTACCTGAATGACATCGATTCATTCAGGGTTTTTTTTTTTTTGTGCTTAGCTGTGATTTGGCCACAGCTAATCACATGACATGTGCATGTGATTAGCTGTGACCATGCACAGCTAGACACTAGTATACAATGGATGGCATGTATGAAGCCATCCATTGTATACAACTGTCATGTGAACTGCTGTGATTGGTCACGGCCGGTGACAGATTGCGCTGCTGCGCTGCTCTGCAGGAGTGCAATCTGCGCATGTGCGGGAGGACGCAATATGGCGTCCACCCGGAACGCTGATGACATTTGCCGCCAGCCATTCGGCCATAGGGCAGGCGGCAAATGGTTAAAGCAGGGTTAGGTTATAAAAAAATATCCCAAGGTTTGAACATCTCACGGAGCACTGTTCAATTTATCATCCGAAAATGGAAAGAGTATGGCACAACTGCAAACCTACCAAGACATGGCCATCCACCAAAACTGACAGGCCGGGCAATAAGAGCATTAATCAGAGAAGCAGCCAAGAGGCCCATGGTAACTCTGGAGGAGCTGCAGAGATCCACAGCTCAGGTGGGAGAATCTGTCCACAGGACAACTATTAGTCGTACACTCCACAAATCTGGAAGAGTGGCAAGAAGAAAGCCATTGTTACAAGAAAGCCAAAAGAAGTCCTGTTTGCAGTTTGCGAGAACCCATGTGGAGGACACAGAAAACATGGAAGAAGATGCTCTGGTCAGATGAGACCAAAATTTAACTTTTTGGCCTAAAACCAAAACTTTATGTGTGGCGGAAAACTAACACTGCATATCACCATGAACACACCATCCCCACCATGAAACATGGTGGTGGCAGCATCATGTTGTGGGGATGCTTTACTTCAGCAGGGACAAGGAAGCTGGTCAGAGTTGATGGGAAGATAGATGCAAAATATTGCCAAGTATAGGGCAATCTCAGAAGAAAACCCGTTAGAGTCTTTAGGAGACTTGAGACTGGGGCAGAGGTTCACCTTCCAGCAGGACAACAACCCTAAACATACAGCCAGAGCTACACTGGAATGGTTTAGATCAAAGCATATTCATGTGTTAGAATGGCCCAGTCAAAGTTCAGACCTAAATCCAATTGAGAACCTGTGGCAACACTTTAAAATTACTGTTCACAGACACTCTCCATCCAATCTGACAGAGCTTGAGCTATTTTGCAAAGAATGGGCAAAAATTTCATTCTCTAGATGTGCAAATCTGGTAGAGACATACCCAGGGGCAGAGGGACCACTGCCCGAGGGCCCGGGGTCAGTAGGGGGCCCCATGAGATGCCCCTGGTACCTTTTCATAGACTTTTTTTGGGTGTGGTTTGAGTGTGGGTGAGGACGCAGGGGCCCCATGATCCCCTATTTCCCGGGGGCCCCATGAGTTGTCAGTCCACCCCTGGACATACCCAAAAATACGTACTGCTGTAATTGCAGCAAAAGGTGGTTCTACAAAGTATTGATTCAGCAGGGATAAATACGCTTTTCAGAAATTTATTTGTAAATAATTTTGAAAACCATTTTATCATTTTCCTTCCACTTCACAATTATGTGCCACTTTGTGTTGGTCTATCACATAAAATCCCAATAAAATACATTTACATTTTTGGTTGTAACATGATAAAATGTGGAAAATGTCACGGGGTATGAATACTTTTTCATGGCACTGTAGGTGCATTTGAATTGCAGTGGACCTTCTTCTAACCTGCATTTGACCTGCACCCAGCAGGTATTACATTCCCATACAGTTGCATGGGATTGGGAAAACCTGCCAGAAGCAAATAAAAGCCCATCAACACAGATTCTCATTCTGCCCTGGAATGAGATCGCCTGCAGGGAACCCACAGCCAAGGCTGGTGTCCAGGCCTTGATCCCTTTCTGGACTTTTCGATGCAGCTACCACAGTATCACAGACTCTTGGGTACACTCCAGCTAAGATATAAAACTAAAGTGAAGCTCCAGTCTCCTGTTAAAAAAAAAAAATAAAAGTCAGCAGCTACAAAACCTGTAGCTGCTGATTTTTAAAAAACAGACCCTTACCTGTCCTGCAATCCAGCGGTGTCCTCACCCCATCCAGGTTCACTGGCTGTCTCCTGTCCCCGGTGCCGGCACCTTAAGTGTAGTCACCTCGCTGTGACAGTTTTCAGGCTTCACAGCCAGGTGCCCACTGCACATGCGCAAGCAGCGCTGTGAATGGTCCTGCAATCTTTTGAGACCTGTCACATGTCCCAGAAGACTACAGGGTGGGGAAGGGAGGGAGAAAGGGAGGAGAACTTCTGCTTCTGATTGCCTAAGTGTTCACAGTGGAAGTGTGAGCGGGTATATGTAAAAATTGGGTACCTGCTCCCTCTTCACTCCCCAAAGGTGCCAATCCTTAACGAAGCACAGGGGAAGAGTCATTACTTTCTCTTTTGGGTGGAGCTGCGCTTTAAAGTATATGAAACCCCCCCAAAAAAATCTCCTTTTCCCTGTTTAGTATTGTAACTCATACAATACAGTTTCTAAAACAACTTTTTTTTTTCTGTTGCAAAGAAGATCCTGCCAATAATAGCACTTCCAATTACAGGTTGACAACATTAAGCCGCTTCCTCACAATTTAGTAGCAGTGTTGTCAGTCTGCCACATTCTTTCAGTTTGCCCTTATACTGCTTATCAGATCTGTAAGATAAGCAATCAAACAGCCAAGTGAAGGAGCTTGCACAGCGGGCTGACAACATTTCTGCTAATTGAAAGGCAGTGGCTTAGCGTTGTCAGCCTGTGACAGGAAGTGCTGCTACTGGCAGGATCTCCAACAAAATAAATCTAGGAACAGATTCTCCCAAAAAAATGTGCTTATACAGTAAGGCTGGATGTCAAATATACTGAAAATAGATTTAAGGTTCACATATAAAATATCCCACCTCTGGGATATTTGAAAATTATCTCTTGCAGTGGGGCTGTGCCTATACTGCAAAGGTTAACTGCTCGTTTAGTCTTTAACTTGCCTGATCCTCTGCCCCCCCTGGCAGATGGTGCCCTCCATAGCTCCGCTGTTGGACTGTGCCTCGGTATCCTCATATCTAGTAGAGGACTATGGGCCTTGCATTGCTTTTGGTGACATCAGGACCTTAGACTGCTGGAGCATAGGGGAGAAGATACTATGGGGACGGGTCTAGCAGCAGCAAGGAGCCGGTAAGAAAATCTTCTTTAACACGTCCCCTAGACCTAAACAAGCAAATAACTCTTGCAGCAAGAGATCATTTTCCTGGAGTTGGGCTTTAAGATATACCTAGAGAGCAACTGATACCTGCTGAGTACTTCATCCAGATATTGCTACATTGCTGTAGTGGACTACTTCACTCCCTTTTCTCAGGGATCTGGTCATCCTGGAATATAGCAGTGTGTGATGCCAGAACACCCACATCCTTCCTCTCCCACATAGAAATCCTAAAATGACTGTATTATGATGTTTCCCAATAATCGGATTCCAATATGTCTTGTAAGTTTTAATGTGATTGGTGATTCGGGAAGAAGAAGGTGAGGTAGTTATGCTGCAAATGCTCTAGGTCATACACTCTAGGGTCTGTGCAAATGGACTTTGGGCTTGTGTCAATTTCATCAGTTTGAGATGCTTCTAAGATCATTCAGAATGCATTGTCAGGTGCATTGGACCTGCTTCAAATGGGTTTTGCATTCCCATAGACCTGTATAGGAATGTGAAACCCGTCTAATATGAATAATAGCCCCTCAACACAGGCTTATACTGCTCTTCTACTGACCCATGAGGTCCTCTGTGTCCTACTGTAGATGCAAGTGGATTATAGAGAACTCAGACAAAAGTCAATTGAGTGAATTTTCTAGGTTTTGCATACCTGCAGTATGTGAAACTGATTGGTTTTATTGTTATCTGAAAATTCTCAACAAGGGAAGCGTTATTGAGAAGGTGAATTTTTAGTCTGCATCTAAACACATCCAGGGATAAGGCCTCTCAGACTGAGCTGAGTATTAAGTTCCCAAGAGGAGCAGCTTGGCAGAAGATTTTACGACCTTATTAAGCAATAATGTTTTCTACTTCTGGATTACCAATGTACATTCCCACTTTACAACCATCATAAAAGGACACCTAGAATTTGTAAACAGTGTCATTATTAAAGAGCATATTAACCCAATAACAAACTATATAACTAAATAATATATTGTGGTTTACCAACCCTTAGACATCTTGGCTTAGTTTCCATTTTTCAGGCTCTTCATCCTTTATGTTCCCGGGTAATCCTGCTAGTAACTCATTGCTTGTCCTAGGGTGACAATATTTACTCACTGTATTGTATCTGTTGAGCAGCAGTGTTGTCACCTTAGAACAGGTGTTTTAGGACCTCAGACCCCCCCCCCCTTTCTTTTCCTTGAAAATAAATAAATAAATGCACGTCTTTTTGCAGGGGGGGGGGAAATTATTTATTTATTTATTTTGCTTAGAGCCTGTAAAGCATTTCACCCGCTGTCAGCAGATCATGGGTGCCATGCAGACTTGTCAGTGTATCTGCCTGCTCGTACCTTGTATGGGCAGGCAGATGCACAATGACAGGAAGAGATAAAGAATTACCAGAGCGCTCAGCACCGCCATGGTAGTTCACTGAGAACTACAAGCTAATAGCCACAAAGTCTGTTGATACTTGTAGCTTCCCATTCATAGAACTCTGAGAATGAATGAAGCGGCTGGGTTGGCGGAGCCCCCCCTCCAGCCACTTTAAAAAAAAAAAAAAACAGTTACAGCTGCTTGGAGGAGAAGATCCCCCACTACTTGTCACTAGATGCAGAGGAGCAGGCAGCGGCTGCAGGAGTGGGAACTAAAACGGGTGGAATATGTAACATGTACCCAAAGGTCCTTTAAGCCCAGGGAAAACATCCTTTTCATCAGTTTATTTAGCTGGTTGGCTGGAGTTGTCTTTTTGAACATTCAGTAACAGTGTTCAATAATTTTGCAGTTCCACAGACACCGAAGTTAAAAACACAGGAAGCCAATTCTGCCACCAGCACTTCCATCACAGTTTACTGGACAATGAGTGAGGAAGATATCATTGATTATTTCCAGGTGTACTGCATGGAGGAGCCTCAAGGAAATCGCGATGAAAATGGTGAGTAGAATTGTTTGTAAAAATATATTTGTTTCTGTTGATCTTAAAGTGTTACTTAACCCCGGACCCTGCATTCACTATATCCAGTCTCCCACAGTACACAGAACATGGAAATGCAATTATTTTAGTAAATATAAACTGCTAAATACCTTTTCTCATCAGCAGTTAGAGCAGTCTTGTGACTTCTATCATGTTCAGCAGAGCACTGGTTATAGCTTATAGGAGGAGTTTTCATTTTGCTTTAGGAGAATGCAGAACCCCTGACTCTCTGTCTGGGCAGTGCTGATTGGCCCTGTGCTGATCACATGCATTCTCCCAAGAAAAAAAAAAAAAAAAAAAAAAAAACCTCTCTAGCAATACACATCAAACTGTGCATGTGCAGAGTGACTCCACACAATATGTCTTATCAGGAGATAAGAGCGGGACACTGGAAGAAGGGGAGGATCAGAGAAGTCAGGATCAAACAGCGTTTTTAGACAATGCAGAGGATTAACCCCTTAGGTTCCACAGTGAATATAACAAGCATGCTTTACTGTATATACAGACTGATTTTACTGTTGTGGGTTTAGTAACACTTTAAGCATTTGGGCACTGTTTATTCTATGCTTGACAATGCATCAGCAATCATTTGCAAATCAATAATGGTATTTTTATTAAAACCTTTAAAGATGACAAGTCAGGAACAGACGTTTGAATTTTCACCCTTAAAGCCCAAATCCAGACAAAAATGTTTTTGTTTTTTTTTTCATTTTGGACAGACTTGGAAAAGGTAAATACTTCCGTCCAACTTTTATGGTTAAGATTTCACCACAATTCCTGTTCTTCTGACAGCCTGTGACAGCAGGAAAGCAATAATGGGGGCAGAAATCACTGGGATGGAAAGACACAGACAGGATTAATAACCTTCTTTATAGAAGTTCTAAACCTTTTCCATTTTACAGAAAAAAATGTTTTTCAATGGGAAATGAGGAAAAAACTCCCCAATGGGGACACAAACTGCAATAAAAAAACTGACAGAAGTTTTAATGCTTCCCCATTTTGTTTCATAAAAAGTTATGAGCTAGAGCTGAATGTTTTAAGGGCTTTGAGAAAGCTGCTTCAGGCATTTTAAATGGTTTGTAAAAGCTTGTTACAGCATATCCAGTTAAAGCTAGTATTTACAATGAACAGTTAAAGGACAAGTGTGTGTTTATTAAAAAGGACATTGACTCACCCTTCCCAGCCTTTTCAACTTCAGTCAACTATATTCTACTGGAATAGCCAAAACTGTCACCCAAACATCTACTGTCACAGATGACTCTAAACAAGTCCATGAGTGCTCATTGTACAGATGTGCCCACTGTTAAAGAGAATTGTGGTTGGATCAATACACAACCGACCACGGTAGTAAGCTTGGATAGGGGGTTTCTAATATAATTTACTTCAGGAGGGATGGAGACAGGAACAGATTTATAGTGGGCCCATGCCTATAGGAAGCAGAGAAGAGCCAGCATTTTTTCCTGAATTATTATTGACCACACAAATCTTTCTTGTTATCATTAATAATAAAGACATCTCATATAAACTATCAAAATATGCTAAGCTGCATGGGTGTAGCATCAGGGGTCTCAGGGGTTACAACTGTGGCCCCACCCATACTCCAGGGGGGCCCTGCAGCTTCCATTTTTTTACATGTCACTGTGTAACCATAGAGCAGAGTGTGACTATGTGAGGACTACAGAGTCACCTGAGAAGATCGTATGTTAGGAATGTGACAGGATAGGGCAGCTGAGTGGAGGAGGTGGGTTACGTGCTGAAGGGAATGATAAATGCACAGTGCACAGTAGTAAGTAGACTGTCTCATCCCCAACTTCTCCCCATTGCCTCCCAGCCCTGTGTCTTCCCTGTCTCTGCCAGTCTGTGAGCGAGTCCCTGCTGAGCTCTCCTCACCTTCCCGATCTGCATTCAGTTATGGCAGGGGCCCAACTGGGGGTACATGCTCTCCAACTGGAGATGGAGCATGTGATGCTACAGTAAAGTGAGTGAAGATTAAAGAGTGAATCATGTTATGAGGCATCTATCGGGCTTTCAAAGTTCTTCTGGAAAGTTAGTGTGGGTCCCAGCAGCCCCTGGGCTCTCTTACCTATCCTCCAGGCTCCTTGCCCAGCCCCTGGGCACTTTGCCTGTCATCCAGACACTTCTTTACCTTGCCGCCAGACACAATACATGAGTTCCCCAAGTCAACGTTTGCATCTAGGCCAACAAGTTTCAAGCTACGCCTCTGCAAGCTGGGTAAGGACCACAAAAACAAGAACATATTGAGGTGATCCTAATATAAGAGTTACTGTGAATGCCAAAGATTGCGGGCCTACAGGCTGCAGTAATGGAAAACTGGCCTTGTCTAGGGTGGCAGGTTGGTGTACTTTTTAGTAAAAGTTCATATGTACTTTAAACAACGCTCATGAGTTTAGTGCCTTGACAACGTAATGCCATTTGGCCTCATGTCTGAAAGCATCTAAAGAACTGTTTGTGTTTCCTCCTAGCAACCAGTCAACTTTATATTTTCCTGATACTTGGGGGAGATTAGAAAGAGAAAGGGAGAACCTGAGTGGTTGCTGAGGAGCAACATAGACAATGATCGTTTTACTTTCATACACAGGACCCATGCTCACATGTTGTTTTTAGGCCTAAACTGCCTTTTTAAATTACATTTTGTTTCTTCTGCTTGTCACAGGTATGTATATTCTGCATCATTATGTGGACCAAAGGCTGATCTAGGTATCTTCATATTTACATGCCAAATCATTGATTCTAAGGCCAATTTAAAATGGATTTGTAATTAAATAATAGCTTCCCAATATCAAGACCCTTATGTTTCCTTAAAGTACACACCTTGAGAAAAGTAGGGGGGGTTCCATTACTGGACTCCATATGAAAATACTAGTTTCCTGACTGTACCTGGCTTCAACACTTTGAATTACCGACCCAGGACACTCATACTTTAAATCTGTGTCAGCAATGTCAGCCTACATAATTCCTTCATGACAGATTTACTTTAAATACATACAGTAAATGATAAAATAGGTTCCCCCTTGTGCCAACTGCCAGAACCTGAGCACTGTGCTACATGATTTTAGACACCACACCACTGAACACTCCTTCAACCATTATACTTAATAAAAAGTAGACCACCTCTGTAGCAGCTCCCTAACATTTACTGCCATGATGAATGGCGTTAATGCATGACCTCTGTTGTACTCAATGAACATGAGTCACCTTTCTGGCTATGATGGGCCCCAAGCCTACTGCATTTCCATGTTGGGAGGAACGCCGTCCTCCAGGATCCTCCAAACATAAGATTAGGATTCAGAGATCAGAAAAGCAAGATTGATTGTGTCCACACAAGTCATTATAAATTCAATTTAATACTGAAGTAACATCCAAGGCTGTGTCTGTACCGTTCTTTATATTGTCTCAGGTTTGCAGTTATGTCACCCATGATGTATGACTCCATATTACTAGCAATGAAGCTTATAGTGTCTTTTGGGATATTTTCTCACTGCAGGGCTGCTGGAGGAATACAGGGTCACGGTGAAAGAAAGTTTCTGCATCTTGGAGGACCTTGAGCCGGATAAATATTACAGTGTCTGGGTTATGGCCGTAAATAACACAGGCTGCAGCTTACCCAGTGACAAGTCAATATTCAGGACTGGTATGTGCCACACTCTTCTTAATAACGCTTGTAAAGATTCCTCAAAGGAATGAAATGCCAGTAAATTACATGGAGATACACTTTTAAGCTGACAAATGCCACAGAAATACAAGATTTTATCTGTGGAAATGTGCCCTGAAAATCAGTATTATTTCTTTGCTATGTTGGGGATGGGGGAGTGGATAGTGCTTGGGCACACAGCAGTTCTCTGACTACATAGACATTTCTGTAAATGTCTGGCTGCATTGTCATGCTGTATTTTCTAACACAGGTAAAACAACAATGTTTCCAGTAGGACCAATTCTCTTGATTGAGAATGACATACCGACCAGCATGTGAGATTGGAAAAAAGGGAAATATTATAGCACAAAGTATTGTATATGTAGGCAAAGGGCACACCCCTGTTGTGCCCGCAACTTAAGAGGGCCATGAAGCATTAAAGAGGAGTTCCAGTTGTATTAAAAAAAAAATAAAAGTCAGCAGCTCCAAAAACTGCAGCTGCTGATTTTTAAAATACAGACACTTACCTGTCCCTCGGTCCAGCAGTGTCCTCACCACGGCTGGTTTCACCGGTCTTCTTCTGTCCCCAGAGCCGGTATCTTCAGTGTGGGCACCTGGCTGTGACAGCTTGTGGCTTCACAGCCGGGTACCCACTGTGAATGCGCGAGTAGTGCTGCGCTTTGTGAATGATCCCATAGTATTCTGGAACTTGTCATGTGTCCCAGAAGACTACGGGGAGGGCGGGGGGGGGGGACAAATTCCACTTCCAATCGCCTTAGGTGATTGCACCGGAAGTGGGAGCGGGTACCTGCTCCACCCCACTCCCCAAAGGTGCCAATCCTTAACGGGGAGCAGGGGACAAAGCCTTAAAGCGGAACGTCCCCTTTTGGGTGGAGCTCTGCTTTAGTATGAAAAAAACTGGTTGGTTAAACTCACAAGTGCGTGTTTCATTATATTGGCTTTTCAATTCAATTTAGAGGTCTGATGTAAGCTTTAGACTACATTCACACTTGAGCATTGGCATTTTCTGTCGTTTTTGTGCTTTTCATTTTCGGGCTTGAACCTGAGTGTTTTAAACACAGAGCCTGAAAAATTGGCCTTACTAGCCCATCACTCTCCATCTGGAGTCTCTAGTAAAAAAAAGTTTTAAAACAATTCAAAAGAAAAAATGCATACTGTTTCCACAAACCAGAAATATAAACTGAAAATTTAAGCCCAAAATAGTTCAGAGATTTATTTCTGCTTGTGGCAATCTTTGAAACTATGCATTTTTTCTTTTAAGATGTTTTAGCCAATGGAAAGCTAGTAACTAGGAAGATAAGATAGTTGTTAGGTGCGAAATAATTAAAAAAATATATGCTCCATGCATTTTTCAAGCTCTGCTGTTGAAGTCTATTGGAGCCAAAGACATACAATCATACCACAAAGGAGCTCCTGCACTTTTTTGTGTTGATCTACAGTGCATTGTTCAGATGTAAATGGACACAATAGGATAATCTGAGTGACAAGTGTTAAAGCTCCTCTAACAATGCACTTCAAAACGCTCAGGTGGAGGGGATTGCTGAGTGTAGTATATTACTTCTTCTAGTTAAAAGGTACATTTTTTATGGAAGCCTACATACCAGATCAAAACAAGGGACAACCAAGAAGGTAAGGGGAACAGAGGAATTTGCTTTTAAATAAGGGACAGTTGGAGATATGGGAAAGAGACCCACATTTTTGTTGTACTGCCCTGTATTTCACTCTCAGTCGATTAAAGGGGTAGTTCAACTTTACTTTAAAAAAAAAAAAAACACCTTTAGTAAAAAACAAACTGCCTAAGCAGGTAAGGGGCGCTTGTCGATAAAGGCAAACTGAGCATCTTTGAGTAAAGTTGTGTAGCACCCTCTAGTGTGCTACTAGAATAGTGTAGTGTATTATAGGCAAAATCATTCTGTATGATTCATGGTAGTTATGCGAGTCTCGTGATTAAGGTCGGATTATTGCAGGTCAGCTGAATGAGTCAACAGGTTGTGGCTCTATTGCCTCCGCCTGCCTCTGGAGGACCGTAGAACCTTCCAGAAGTCGGTAAGTAAGAAGGGGTGGAGGCCTAATCTGCATATTCATGGGAGTCTGGCCAGTCCCAGGTTTGGAGACCCTGATAGAGTGGTGGACTGCCCCATAAATATGGGAGAGTGAGGCTGACAGAGGAGTCAGGTGAAGATGGCGTGCTGAGGAGACTGTCGGTACCTAAGAGGGGTCCCCTGGAGGGGAGGCTGGGCTTGGGAGGATACATTCAGCAGAGAGGCATGAATGGGATCAAGGCCTGGAGCAGCAGGGAGCAAAGAGGACAGTTTGAGTACAGCAACACACTCTGCAATCTAAAAGGGGAAAGACTGCCACATATAGCAAGCTAAGGACAGAACTGGGCTTAATCATTAATCCTTGTCCCAGGAGATCTTCAGAGAAGCCAGGAGGGCTGGTAGTGCTTGCAGGCTGTGGAGCTGCTAGTTCCTCGCTCGTAAAGGGCAGCTGCTATTGATCCATAACGACTGATGGCTTTTAGGAAAATAACAGTCCAAAATCTGCCTTTGTACATAGGAGGGAAGTGTCTCTCTTCCATTGTTTCAAGCCAAATTGGGCAACCCATAATCCATATTCCCCATCCAAGTTGATTTCCCCTAATAGAATAACAAAACCAAGATCATGGACTGGTCATTGTCTCTGGATCGAAGTTGGTGTAAGAAATACCTTTTGCCTGGCTGTGAGAGAGGCTTGGAGATACCCACAACATAGCGGCCCTCATGAGGGTAGCCGTACAGTTGGATAATGCCCTTGCTATAGGGGTAGGTCACCCCATACCTCCCGAAGCCATGGCCAGATCTAGGGGGTGCTGGGGTGGACTGTGCCCCCCCCCAATATTTCAGTTGCCTCCCTCAAAGTTTCCTACCCACAACCCTCCTTCACACCTGACGCTGTACCCAGCTGTCTCTGCACTGTACATATACAGCCTTAGCACAGGCAGCAAGATCTCGGTTCCTTCACACACAACACATTCCCTTACACACAGCTACGATCTGCACAGTGTGTAGGCTGGTTACTGAAGCCACGCTGACCAGGGAATTTCACAGGTCAGAAGTGCAACATATTAACAGCTAGACACTGTGCAGATTGTATCCGTGTGTAAGCTGTATTGTGTGGGAAGGAACCACAAAGGAGATCTTGCTGCCTGTACGTAGGCTGTGCATGTACAATGCAGGGATGGGAGCTATGCTGAGTGTCCTGCTAGCAGTGACCCCTGTCCTCTCTCTTTCCAGCAGTGACCCCTGTTCTCTATCCTTCCAGCGGTGACCCCCGTCTTCTATCCTTCCAGTCGTGACCCCTGTCCTCTCTCCTTCCAGCAATGACCTCCATCCTCTATCCTTCCAGCAGTGACCCCTGTCTTCTATCCTTCCAGTGGTGACCCCTGTCTTCTATCCTTCCAGCGGTAACCCCTGCGCTCTCTCCTTCCAGGTGGTGCCTGGGCTCTATCCTTTCAGTGGTGACCCCTGTCTTCTATCCTTCCAGTGGTGACCCCTGGGCTCTATCCTTCAGCGGTGACATCTGTCCTCTGCACTGTCAGGTGTGTCCCCTCTCCTCTGCCCTTCTAGTGGTGACAGCTGTCCTCTGCCTTGCCAGAGTTGATCCTTGTCTTCAACCCTTCCAGCGGTGACACCTGTCCTCTCGCCTTCCAGCGGTGACCCCTGTCCTCTCTCCTACCAGTGGTGACATCTGTCCTCTGCACTGCCAGTGGTGACCTCTGTCCTCTGCCGTGCCAGAGTTGATCCTTGCCCTCTTATCTTTCCAGCGTTGACCCCTGTCCTCTCTCCTTCCAGCGTTGACCCCTGTCCTCTTTTCTTACAGCGGTGACCACTGCCCTCTTTTCTTCCAGCGGTGACCACTGCCCTCTCTCCTGCCAATGGTAACCCCTGTCCTCTCAATTACCAACAGTGACCCCTGCCCTCTCTCCTGCCAGCGGGGACCCCTCTCCTTTTTCCTTCAGCGGTGACCCCTGTCCTCTGCCCTGCCAACAGGGACTCCTGCCCTCTCCCTTGCCAGCTGTGACCCCTGTCCTTTCTCTTGCCAGTGGTGACCCCTGTCTTCTGTCCTTTCAGCGGTGAATCCCTGTCCTCTGCCCTGCCAGCGGTGACCCTTGTCCTCTGCTCTGCTGTTCACATTACATGTCTGGTCCAAGTCTTCTTTCTTATGGACTGCAAAGTGGGATGGTCCTTTTTTGGTTGCCCACATTGCTTCCTGGGTGATATAGACATTATACTGTTCAGTGGTTGTCCATCAGCATGGTATTCATAGGCTCATGATGAGGGCACTGGTCAGCGGCGGGCATGTACTGCAGGGTTGGATCACTGGCCTTCAGTCCTGCAAAACGTGCTGCAGTGGGTCACAATATGACAGACTTAGGTGAGTAAAAAAAATAAGTTTTAAAGTTTAATTTTTAAGGAAAATGGTTAATGAATGGGTGGAGGGTTTATGCTTCCCCATAGATGGGTTTTAAAATTAGGAAGAGGTTAGGAAGAGTTAATTGCATGAGAATAGAAGTTAAAATTGGTGATTCTTAGGTATAGATAGGGTATGGACACAAACAATGATATTCAGATTTGTTTTTTTTTATCATTGAAAGATCTGTAATGCAGATTTGACTCTGGAAAGGAATATACTGCTTATCAGACATGCAGCATTCTGTAAAAAAAGATACTGTGATCCAACAGAATTCAAGCACTTAACGCGTATCTAAACTCAGAAGCAAAAATATGATATATTGCAGGTCCTTAAATATGGTGGCTGCATTAGTTTTCCTTTAAAAACCTTTGCCTTTTATTTTCACCTGGTGATCCTGACAGTATTCTGGCTACAATCACTCCTCCACCATATCTATGGAGGAGCACCATAGCCACCCTTAGACATCAACCTGTGATGTTAGATGGACTAGTAGATTTAGGCTTCATTCACACTTGTGTGACATG